AGTATGGATGGTATAATTAAACATTTAAATGATAAATTAATTAATTAAGCTTAATAATATACTGTGAATAGTGGAAACTTATGTTGTCAAGACATCAAGTCTTTAGTCAGCAGGTTGTCAAGATCTAGAGTCTTTCGGCAGCCAGTGGAAACTGTTTTACAGTATGGATAGTATAAACATTTAATTAAATGATAAATTAAGCTTAATAGTATGCTGTGAATAGTGGAATCTTATGTTCTCAAGACTTCGAGTCTTTAGTCAGCAGGTTGTCAAGACGTAGAGTCTTTCGGCAGCCAGTGGAAACTGTTTTACAGTATGGATAGTATAATTAAACATATAAATGATTAATTAAATAAGCTTAATAGTATACTGTGAATAGTGGAATTTTATGTTGTCAAGACTCCGAGTCTTTAGTCAGCAGGTTGTCAAGACGTAGAGTCTTTCGGCAGCCAGTGGAAACTGTTTTACAGTATGGATAGTATAATTAAACATATAAATGATTAATTAAATAAGCTTAATAGTATACTGTGAATAGTGGAATTTTATGTTGTCAAGACTCCGAGTCTTTAGTCAGCAGGTTGTCAAGATCTAGAGTCTTTCGGCAGCCAGTGGAAACTGTTTTACAGTATGGATGGTATAATTAAACATTTAATTAATTGATAGATTAAGCTTAATAGTATGCTGTGAATAGTGGAAACTTATGTTGTCAAGACTTTGAGTCTTTAGTCAGCAGGTTGTCAAGACCTAGAATCTTTCGGCAGCCAGTGGAAACTGTTTCACAGTATGGATAGTATAATTAAACATTTAAATGATAAATTAATTAATTAAGCTTAATAATATACTGTGAATAGTGGAAACTTATGTTGTCAAGACATCAAGTCTTTAGTCAGCAGGTTGTCAAGATCTAGAGTCTTTCGGCAGCCAGTAGAAACTGTTTTACAGTATGGATAGTATAATTGAACATTTAATTAAATGATAAATTAAGCTTAATAGTATGCTGTGAATAGTGGAAACTTATGTTGTCAAGACTAACAGATCTTTTAAAGGACATTGGCAACGAAAATTTTTATTGGCTATTTCAATCCTACTTGACAACCGAACTATGAAAATATTATCATTTCCGTCTTGAACATTTTAGTCTACGAGTAAAATGCATGCAAACTTTGTGTTTCGGCCAGTTTCGCCGCCATCTTGGAAAATATTTTTGAAAAATTATCTCGAAGGTCAATGAACTTTGTGACGTCATTGGCTGGGTAGCACCAAAACTACAAGAGAGAATTCTATTGCGTGCGTGTTATGTTAGCTAAAAATATGTCGTTTTGAGCGTTATACTGGCCAACACTCTTCGCAAATCAAACAAGAGAAGTCTACACTATCAGATAAAAACATATCGAGCGACTGGGAAAGCAAGAAATGGCGCAATTTACAATGCAGGTAATTGATCATAAAATATTGCATTAGTATTTGCCTTGTTACACTCGAATTTCTGCGCTTATTTAACACGGAGTAGGATATATACTATGAGAAATAGTGTTACAAACAAGTTACATGTTTGGTAAAACTTTTGCGCCTTTTGTTTTGGCTCAAAATGCACTGCGCGTGGTAATACACGGTATTGTTTATAGATTGTGTTTACCCAGCCAATGACGTCAGATAATGTATTTTGTGGCATAAATTAGCATACGCGCTTATTTTCAAAATGGCGGACAACTGTTCAAATTTTCTCAAATTCAATCGAATTTTCTCAGCAACTAAACGCGACAAACCGGCCAAAATATTAAATTAAATATTCCGTAAGTATACCTAATAGATATAAGTAATAAAAATTTTGGTTGCCAATGTCCTTTAATAGTCAGCAGGTTGTCAAGACCTAGAGTCTTTTGGCAGCCAATGGAAACTGTTTTACAGTAAGGATAGTATAATTAAACACTTAATAAAATGATAAATTAATTAAGCTTAATAGTATACTGCAAATAGTGGAAATTTATGTTGTCAAGACTCTGAGTCTTTAGTCAGCAGGTTGTCAAGATCTAGAGTCTTTCGGCAGGCAGTGGAAACTGTTTAACAGTATGGAGAGTATAATTAAACATTTAAATGATTATTAAGCTTAATAGTATACTGTGAATAGTGGAAATTTATGTTGTCAAAACTTCGAGTCTTTTTTAATCAGCAGGTTGTCAAGACCTAGAATCTTTTGGCAGCTAGTGGAAACTGTTTTACAGTATGGATAGTTTGAATGATTAATTAAGATTAATAGTACGTATGACCGTGAAATAATCACCAACAAAAGATTAGATTGGGTTTGTTCTATAAGTTGTATGATACATCCTCATTGGCCTCGTGGACCCATAAAACGTACCAGTGTACTCTTCATAATATTCTCTAATGCAAAATAATTATCTTTTCAAGGGAACGTGTTGGCCATTAATGTTTAATTTAACGAAGGACATGCAGTTGCTAACAGCAAATCATTTGTGGCTACAACATAGTGACGAGTTCTTATTTGAGTGTGTTAAGTGCCATTCAGCAAATATTCTATTGGTTTCAAATCACCTGTACTGGTAACATGAACTTTAATTTGGATTGTGACTGATATAAACTATGTTGAAATGATTCAATTGAATCAAAATATGTAATATAGACTATAGGTTTAAAGGGACCTTTCGTTATTAATACAGGAAGGGGGGGGGGCTGTTACGGATTTGGTAAAAGCAATAGTAAAGTATACATCCCCCTTTGCCCAGGCCTCGAAATACATCTGGATGGTACACTCCGACTCGTCATCATGACATGTGCATTATTTGCCGGTCAATATGGATGTTTGGCCGGTCATGTTTTGATTTTCTTATTTGCCTAGACTACAGTTTGAAAATTTTACATCCCCCCCTCTTTGTTGTCTTTACCACAAATTAATATTTCATACGTTTTCCATATAAAAAAAAGGCTGATGAATATAAGATATGAATTGAATATAAGATATGAATTGAATATTTTTTGGCATGTATTGGTCATACTGTATATGAAAAGAATAAGTTGTCAAAATCATTGGAAGAGATTTCTTCAATATGTTATCAGACATTTCAGTTTCACGCACACTCTCCACAGTATCCAGTTCCTTTAATTCACTCTCGTCGTCATCACTGTCTACAGTACATGGTATTTCCACGCTCTGAATACTCCTGTCCCTCTTCATACATAAATCATAATAACTTACACAGAGAGGAAGTGGCTAAATTGCATCGAGTTGCAATGGACAGTATTGATACTATAAACTGTTATATTACTTATTTAACGCTATGGTTTTGAATACCTTATCCGGCTTCTTTCCTTTCCTGTTCAACTTGTGATAATTGAGATACTTATCAAGTTCTGCCACATATAGTAGCTTACTGATTTCTTTAGGCTGTACTTGTTTCCCCCATTCATACAGTAGTCATCATATGTCTTCTGTCTTGTTCTGGGTTTTTTTTCCGTTTGCCTCTTGTTCTGGGTTTTTTCCCCTTTATCCTTTGCATATTCTGCAAATGCTCCAGGTATTCATGCACCAAGTTTTCCTTTACGACGAATTTATTGTAATGCATTCCTGGTCGGTTGCAGATATACGATCATTGGCAAACTCCACTTTCAAGTTTTTTCTTGGCTGGAAATCATCCAGATATCTTGTTTCTCCACTGGGTTGCTTGTTAGAGCTATCAAACACTGGTTTGTAGTGGCAACAGGGAAGACTGTCATAATCTTGTTCTGGTCGAGGAACCCTGTCCATCTTCGGACCAACCCAACTGTGCTATAATTGAGAAATATGTATGCAAGCCCCCCTCCATCATTAAAAAAACTTACATTTCCCCTAAAATATTTGCTCAGAAATGTCTACGCTCCGCACACATTTCATACCCCCCCCCCCTGTATTAATAATGAACGGTCCCTAGAAATAATTATGGTTTAAATTTGTACTTTCTAATTCACTTCATTGTTTTAACTTACAGTAAAAATGTACTGTATATAAGAGATTTTGGAAAATAAATATGTTTAGATAAAAAATGGTTGCTCAAGTGATTGATTTAGTATACATAATAATTTACAAACTATTTACAATTTCATTTACAAACTATTTACAACTAGTTGCTAACAATTTACAAACTATTTACAATGTCGTTTACAAACTATTTACAAATAGTTACTAATAATTTACAAACTATTTACAATTTCATTTACAAACTATTTACAACTAGTTACTAACAATTTACAAACTATTTACAATGTCGTTTACAAACTATTTACAAATAGTTAGTAATAATTTACAAACTATTTACAATTTAATTTACAAACTATTTACAAATAGTTACTAATAATTTACAAACTATTTACAACTTAATTTACAAACTATTTACAACTAGTGGCTAATAATTTAGAAACTATTTACAATTTAATTTACAAACTATTTACAAATTGTCACTAATAGTTTACAAACTATTTACAATTTAATTTACAAACTATTTACAAATAGTTACTAATAGTTTACATACTATTTACAATTTAATTTAATTTACAAACTATTTGCAAACACTCGCTGATTATTTACAAACTGTTTACAAATGGTTGCAGTGATTTACAAACTATTCGGAAATAATTCCCAATGTTTTACAAATAATTTACAAACAATTTACAAATTAGTTTTAAATTTACATAGTTTGTCAATGTACATTTAGTGTGTAAATGAAATTTACAGTCTATTTACAGACAAGTTGCATACTATTTACATAGTATGGAAGGAAGTTAATTTTTCCATAATCACCATGCACGTATAGTTGTTTTTGCAGAGCTTTGGATCCGTATAAGCTTGGACCTCGATGGCGCCCAATAATATACGACTAGTTTAATTTAATTTTTAATTCACACGAGTTTCAATTATTCCAATTAATTGACCTCACTCTCATTTGTGAATGTGTGCACTTTGCGACGTATTGTATGCAAAATTTCAACAGAATATCAGACTCGTGTTCTATTAAAAGGTTCGCAAATAGAATTTCGGAAATTCAGTATCAGAGTGGCGTATATGAAGGGTAGAAGGTTAGTGTTTCCAGAACTAAACACAACAGTAAGGGCTAGTTCTCCATCTATAGATATTGAGTAGAAAAGCAATCGTATTCGTGTCAATCTTAATTAGGTTGTCACACTCAGCTTTTCGAAAGTTCCTAGATTTTAAATATTCAGTAGGCCTATTACTCAAAAATTTGCTTGGCGAAATTTCAATGGTTTGTTTGTTGTGTAAACTATCGGTAAAAGCTGTTGTAATATCGGCAATTATTTGGGATATTGACAAATCCGACTAGAAGGGACCGTATACGCAATAGCACGACAACCCAAAATCACCGAAATCATGCGACAAAATTAACATTAGGCTAAAAACACAAAATGACCACTACGATTTTCTGTGGCAGATGTGGAAAATCCAAACATTACCCAAATCAAGAGCAAAATTGATTGTCCGATACGGTTGGCCATCAATAGATTTTATAGGTATACTCCTCGATCACTGTTCAATTAGTTATGTACGCCTTAACTCAACAGGAAAACGTCAGGCACATTATTATACATAACCCATTTGCCAGTTGTGAAATTGAAAAATAAAATTATGAGATATCCCTACCTTATTCTATTTTCTCGAGAGTCAGCCATCGTATACTTGCAGCTGCATGGGCACTAGATCAGGAATGTCTTAAAGTGCGTTGATACTCTATGTTTGTTTCATCGCACTTATCCACCCCCGAACGACAATCTTCCGCTTTCTTTATGCAGCATATATAGCGGCTATCTAGTAAAAAATTCTAAAAGTAGCATGACGTTATCCTCGGTGAGAACTGCCACATACAGGCTGGGAAATAACATTTTAATTGGTCTTCAAAACATAATACGCTATCAAACCAAATCCATTTCTTGATGGTAAATTAAGAGATATTCCTAGCATATATCCATGGTGAAAATATCAAAAAGCTGCTAAGCCATCTAATTACAGATGAAAAATTTGAGAATGGGCGTAATAATTGTAGAGGAAACATATATTGGTGCAGTGTGATTTAGCGCAGCTATTTCAAGTGCGCTGCACTTGAATTACAAAACTGTAGAGAAAACATATATTGATACTGTGTGATTTAGCGCAGCTATTTCAAGTGCGCTGCACTTGAAATACAAAACTATAGAGTAAACATATATTGGTACAGTGTGATTTAGCGAAGCTATTTCAAGTGCGCTGCACTTGAAATGCAAAACTGTAGAGAAAACATTATATTGGTACACTGTGATTTAGTACATGTTCACTAAGAGTGCAGATCATCCCACAGCTTACAGAAATAAATTCCTGGTTTTGCATAACGAATAATGACATATAAGTTTTGGTTTGTGAAATCACCATGCACGTATAGTTGTTATTGCAGAGCTTGGATCCGTAAGCTTGGACTTCGATGGCGCCCAATAATATACGACTAGTTTAATATAATTTTTAATTCACACGAGTTTCAATTATTCCAATTAATTGATCTCACTCTCATTTGTGAATGTGTGCACTTTGCGACGTATTGTATGCAAACTTTCAACACAATGTCCGATTCGCATTCTATTAAAAGGTTCGCAAATAGAATTTCGGAAATTCAGTATCAGAGTGGTGGCGTATATGAGGGGTACAAGGTTAGTGTTTCCCGAACTAAACACAACAGGGAGGGCTAGTTCTCCTTCTAGATATTGAGTAGAAAAGCAACCGTATTCGTGTCAATCTTAATTAGGTTGTCACACTCAGCTTTTCGAAAGTTCCTTGATTTTAAATATTCAGTATTACTCAAAAATTTGCTTGGCGAAATTTTTGAGGATTTTAATGGCCTGATTCCACGAGCGCTTTTTCTTCGCCTGTTTCTTTTGAATTGCGAGTACTGGAATAAATTCTTTCTACTTGATTGCTCACAATTTAAAAGAAACAGGCGAAATATTTCGCATTTCGCCAAGAAAAAGCGCCCGTGGAATCAGGCCTTTACGTAGGCGCACGGAGGGAAATAATCAGCCAGACGGACAAAAATTTGTACAAGGTGGATGGAGATCAACCGACGAATGCAAAACTTGGGCCGCATTTGCCAGATTCAATTTGAATTACAATTGCCTGATCAGTTTAAAGTAAAATGTCCGTGAAACCCCGTCACCGTTGTGTCGTATACGTCTTGCATGGAGGTAATGAATATAAAACAACAATGGTTTATATCATGACATTAATGGTTCATTGTCAAGTTTCGTTCGTTTAAAGGACAATGGCAACAAAATTTTTTATTGTCTATATTAAAAGTGTTGCTTCATCTAACTATAAATATGATATTAATACCGTGTCAAACATTTTTGTTCAGGAGTTATATGCATGTTATTTCACTGTTAATTTATATATCGTCGACCATCTTGGCTCGTGTTTGCGACAAATTATCTTTTTGGTAATATGACCCGTATGACGTAGATGGCAGGGTAGAATCAAAATAACAATATATTTTTGTATAGCGTGTATCGAGATTTAATACGTTTTCTCAAAAAATTAATGCTTTTGAGTCATTTTAATGGAAAATATTCACGAGAACCAAGTAGGAGAAGTGTTAGCATACCAATATGAACCAGAAGTAGGAGAAAAACAGGCAATATTTTAATTTTGGGATAGGTATTTTAAATACAGGACCTCTACATGCATCTTGGACCTTTGGTTTGTGGTTTACTTATAATCATTTATTTAATGGATTTCTTTTATTTTCAACGGTGTATTGAATGGAGACCATGCCGTTAAATATTGTATATTAGGTGCACGCGCATAATGCGTGCCGCGTGCGCTGTTTTGTGTCTTTTTATGTCAATTCATTGTAGAAATAGTATACCGCAATTGAAGCTAGTATGTACTGTAAGTAAAGTTATTACTTGGCAACGCTTCCCTTTTCAATTGTATTCTAAACGTTTCATTGCACTGTATTCGTTTTAAAAACTTTGGCGACTGTCCTTGTTCATACGCGTCTTCGGCAAAATGAAGTGAGCATATATTCTAGTCACATCGTCGCGACGATAGTTTAATGCTTTGCGCTTATACAGAATTCAATCCACGCTTTTCTCCTATATTGCTGATCTACCGATTTGTCCTTTGGAAAATTGAAGAAACAGATTTCACTTGTGTGTTGGCTGTCACTACACAACCATAGACGGCAATACATGTTTTGCAGTGCACCTTACGTTTTACATGAACAATCTAGATATTTTCGTTATTCAAGCCGTACTCAGAGCTGACTATATATAATATTTGCAATTTCGGTGATATATATATTCCTACACGTGAATTTAGGGTATTTTACATAACAATGAAAATATTGATAATATTGGGAACTATACACTACAGTACATGCATATACTTACCTATATATAAAATGAGAACTAAGTAAAACTACATGTAAAAATACATCACAACATGTAACCAGATTATGAGTTATTTTACACTTATCTCTTGTCTGGGAAAATCCCATACTGACCTTGAATGTCAATTTACTAATTTGCGCAATGTCTAACATGCGCGACACTACACATTACAGAAGAGGCAAATCTTGTTTGTGAGATAACAGCTATTTCACTAGCATAGCAATGTCGTTTGAAAGGTCGGCACTATATCATAGACAAGATACGTACAAATCTGAAACTGCTATGCATACAAGTCAGCGGTATTCCATTTTTAAAATTCAAATAAATTAGTGCGCGAAATTGGAAAAAACGCGCGAAACCAAAGCAATATGGCTTCCATCGAAGAGTGACCGAGTGCTTGTTTGCGCTTCACAAGCAGAAATGCTTGACAAATTTGAAGAGTACAAAATAAAAACAAGTAGTGGTTGGAGATGTATCAAATCAAATGCACTTTTTGGTAAGTGAACTAATTTCAATATGTAAATTTGTCTTATAAATATTCATACGAATACCGTGTGTGCAATATTTTAATATGAAAGATCCAAATTA